CAGTATGTTGTGTCTAAGTCTCTTGGATCTCTGCTTTATATAAAGCCTAAATGTCTTTTTTATTTTCTTGTAGATATTTAATCACACTTGCTATTCTCAGTTTCAGTTGCTGTCAGTGTTCGCATCAGTTTCGATAGCGTTTGCTTAGAATGAATCCCTTGGGGCTCCACAATGATGACTAGGCCCTGCTGCTGGCTGCTAGATGTCCCGGCACTTTCAGGCAATGCTGATCAGGGAAGTTGCCGCACCTTTTTTCCTCCCCCTCCTCTTGCAGGAGCTCAGGCGGCTGGGAGAAGCAGCTTCTTTATTTCTTGGACTCCAGGGCCCAACACCCGGGGTTCTGAGGTGTGGTATTTCTTATTTGCAGATCTCATGCTGAGATGTGCTGGTGTGTGGTTTGGGCATTTTTAATTGAGTTTTAGTTGTTTAGCTTATTGTTATTTCAAGAGGAGAGATCTGAGGACATCTCTCCCTCTGCCATGTTTCCTCCAATCCGTTTGAGTTTTTTCACTTACTTTTTCTTATTTTAAATGCGGCTGGTAACAGGTTACTACCCAAGCAATTTTTTGGAGCTATGGGGATGAATGGCGTTTTTTTTAAAGTCTTAAAAAGGATATAACTGTAAGATCCTCAGAAAAGGCCAAATGTGATAAATCTTTTATCTTATGTAGATTAACAAATGATGAAAACTCTAGTGCTGCCCCCAGCCACACACACACAACATGCCAGTGCCCTGGCATACACATGTGCCCACAAATGATAATCCTCACATATTTCTAACCTCTTCACTCTATTTAGCTAAGTGCTGCTACAGGGCCAGGGACACAGTCCATATTGATCCATAGACAGGGCTCCTTTGAGGGACCCACACCTACACTACAAATTGACTAGGTACAGAAGATAGTCAACTAAATGTACAAATACGCTTAGTTAATTTAAATTTAAAAAGGGTATTAAATTAAAAGGGGCTACTAATATAATACACTGAAAAATTAGAATTTTGAAGGATAATTATTGTTGACATTAGAACAACATGGTCTGACATGGGAAACCAACTCATAGAAAAATAAAATACCTCCCACACTTAAGAATTTTAATGTGCGTCTGGGCAAAGAAGAAAACATCACAGAAGAAAGTTTTGACTCTTCTCTCCAGTTAGGATATGTGATATGAGATCCTTTTTATAATCCATTTATCAAAAAAATTTTTATTTTGGTAGTTCAGAAGTTTGAGTAGGAGATAAAAGAAACATTTTAGGAAATGCTTGAAAAAAGAGGCTGTGACTCATATTCTTACATAGTTCCTGATGATATTAGTAATTTAAAACTAGTCTCTGGAAAATTATATTGAAATTCTGCTAGAAAGTCAAGTTTTCATCTTTACCCTTAGAGACCCCTATGGTAAATTAAGTGGTTTACACCTGAAGAAGCAATCTTCTTTATATTTGGTTTATAACAAATAGTGAATATTATTTATCTCACATTAAATTTTAAAATCCAAAACTATATACTTTTTTCAATAGGTGTTAAATTACGGTGACTATCATCAGCCATTCAGGTTAGTATTACTAGTTCAGTTTTCAAAACTGACTCTGTGGCACATTTCTTTAGTTACTGAAATATTTGTACTGAATTTGGTGGATTCAGTGAGATAATGTCTGGCTTACAATTGGCTTAATCTCATCTTGTCTTTGGGTAAATGGCTTGATTATTTTGGATTTTGTATTAAAATGGAAGTTTAAGCTACAGAATTTATATGTATAAAGTTATTTCAGTGACCGTAATCATAAGGGAATAGAATAATAAGCATATGTAAATATGAACTTGAATACAGAATTCTTCAAATTTAATTGCATTTCTCTTAATTTTTTCCAGACATGTTCTACAGAAATTTTGGAGTATTCATCAGATAGTGAAAACAAAGATGATTCAAAGAATATCCTGTGCATTGATTCAGAATCCTCTCACAAATATCACATGGATTTTGGATCACATGGAAGACAGGTTATGGAAAGATTGATAAACCCAAGGGTGAAATCTACAGAGAGCATTTTGTATACACCCCAGAGACAGACGAAGTTTCCCAGGACTGCTGAAAATTCAGCAAAGAAGAATAAACTTTTAAGGTTATGTTACACCTTTTTAAATACCTCTTTTTAAAAAGTTTTTCTTTTTCTTTGAAATATTAATTTAAAAATGCTTACTTGTTTACTTGAGAAGGAAAATTGAGAGAATAGAATGATAATTCCCGTAAGCAGTTATAGAAGTCCTAGTTCTGGAGACAATTTATAGAATTGTTCATCCAAATTTGAACATTCACTGTTTCTGTCATAACCAGCTTACATGACTGCTTCCTTTATGGAGATTGACTGTTTGAGTTTATCAGATTTTATTGAGCATCAGTATTTCAGGTGCTGTCTTAGATAATTAAGACATGTAAATTACTCTTCTTCATTTTAAGTAACTTATAGGTTAAAGAGGGAAATAGAAATAAATATAAACTAGTCATATTACTTTCATGAGTATGGTTACCAGTGAAATGCTTGCAAATGCAAAGATGTATGAGAGAGCAAAGATTCACAGACAAGAAACTGGCTGGTGTGTGTGTAAGAACCACGAAGGTCTGAACATGGAGGGTCCAGCAGGACATGTGAAAGAGCCTGGGATGTGCCATATAGGGGGACATGTACCAACCCTGTGTAATCAATATGTGGTCTCTTTGTGTTTTAAATTAGAATAGAACAATGAAACAGACAAACAAAAAACAATAAAAGTCAGGAGAATTAGTAGGCAGCACTACCACAAAAGTAAACCTACTAGAGAGTTTCAAGGCAAAAGTCATTTCAGTATAAAGAGTAAATGTGGCAATGAAGCATACAGTTTTTGGATCTGTTTAGGATATGTCTACATTAAGACAGGGCAAGGATGATGATGATGCACACTGAGGAGACTCCAGTAGCAATGTTAGTGGATAGGGAAGGAAACTGGTGAACCATGACTTAAGGAATGCCCAATACCCTGGGAGGGGAGACAGTGCCGTGATTACACTGCTAGGAGCTGGGATTCGAGTGAGGAAGGAGGGTGGGGAGCTTAGCAGCTAGTGAAGGGATTTAGTGTCTAACGAGATTTCAGAGAAAGGGGAGACAGATTAGAGAATAATGGGGAGTACTCAGTGGAGACAGAGTGGTTAGGAATGATTGCTCTGCCAGTGCCCAAAAAGGGAAATGGAGCTAGGGCTGGGGACGAGAGGCCTATCTTGAGCATAGGAGTAGAAGGAAAGGTATAAGGATATGATGGAGTCTGGTGGGATGAAGTATGGTGAGTCATACTT